AGGAGGGGTCGCTATGAGTCGGGTCCGACTCGGTGGCACATAACAACAACAACAACATTATTCTTCAGGGTTGAATATTATTCCATCGTGTATGTGTACCACAGTTTGGTTATCCATTCCTTGGTTGATGAACGTTTAGGTTGTTTCCATCTCTTTGCTATTGTGAGTAGTGCTGCGATGAACATGGGTGTGCATGTATCTATTCATGTCCTGCCTCTCACTTCTTTAGGATATACACCTAGTAATGGGATTGCTCCATCAAATGATATTTCTATTTCCAACTTCTTAAGGAATTGTCATACCAATTTCCACAACGCTTGGATCATCCTACAGTCCCACCAGTAGTGTTTGAGAGTCCCATTCTCTCCACACCCTTGCCAGGTTGTGTTGTTTTCTGTCTTACTGAACTCTATTGATGCTGGGGTGAGACGGTATCTCATGCTTGTTTTGATGTGCACCTCTCTAACGGCGAATGATCGTGAACATTTCTTCCTGCGTTTGCTGGCTGCCTGAGTATCTTCTTTGGTGAAGTGTCTGTTCATGTTATACGGACATTCTTACAGGACACACAAATCCAAGGCTGTAATCCCTACAGAAGCAGACTGCCACATGTTTCTCCTGAGGAGCGGCTGGTGGGTTTGAACCGCAGGCTTTCCTAGCAGCTGAGCACTTAACCACTGTGCCACCAGCGCTCCTTCTTCGTCTCCATCTCACTCACCGCTCCATAGGCGGTATCCATCCTACTGGCAAAATGAAGATGCTCTGGCAGCTTTTCAGCCCAAACAAAGTCATCAAAGGATTTCCGTATTCACACTGTCCAACGCCTGTGATTTCAGATCCAGTGGAAGTGCCTTTTCCCCTCATCTGTTGTTCTCAGCAAGGGAGCATTTGTGCGAGCTTCTCAGGCAAGTTTAAGTTAACATAACCCACAATCCTTCAGTAGCATTCAAGAATCGAAAAATAAGACTTAACTGTAAACAAGGACTCAAACCTATTATACTGTAAGGGGTTAGGTGATGAGTTTTGTTTCTTTAATATTCTTTCAAAACTTCTTTTCATTTTATTTTACCCTCTTTTCAATAAAAAGAGCAAAAATCTATATTCATTCTCTGCCACCACAAACCTTTCACTAATAAAACCTCAGAAAATACTTTCTGCTTCATTGAGAAAACCAGTCCACACTTCCCTGTACTTAATACAGTTTGGAATTAACAGGCCTGTTGGCCTGCATGTTTACTCAGCATCACTGATGTCAACATAAGCCGAGAAGACGATTTCTGAGGGCATCTAGCTCTGCAATGCCAGGAGGGCCAGGCAGAAACCATGGGAGAGTGACCTGTCAACCTGCCATCTCTGGAACTCAGGCATCTGAGAATTCTGCTTCAAGAGCAATTGAGTGCCCATGACCACCTGGGTCAGGGAATGCAGAGTAGATCCTGGAGGCAGAACAATCTCACCCACTCCAATCACACCTCCTTAAAGTCTAGATGTCACAACGACGTTGCTACCCGCTCTACAACCCACCTGTGGGGGAAGACAGGTTTCAGGAGAGAAAAAGGTTGGCTCGTTAATATTTAATGGTTTCAACTGTCCCATTTCATGCTGTGTGATCGATAGCAACATGCACTTCAAATAACTACTCATAAAATCCAAATTATCTACATGAGCCTCATTTTTGTTATGCAATCCCAACACTTCCTTATAATTTGGATCTTATTTCAAAATCTTATCCCTGAAATCTGTCAGTAAAAAGAGTGTTTCCATGTTACGCAAACATTGTCACCAGAGGAAACGTCAAGAGTAAAATATACCTTGGGATGCCTGGCACCATCGGTTAAACCTTACTTATTAATTTTGGAACAGGCGTCTCCCCAGTCATTGCACCCATGTCTAACGCTGGCTATCTCCACGGTAACAGCCGCTGGCACTCACCCTCAGGAAGAACTCTGCGAGGGAAGAACTTTTGCACCCATGAGAAAACCACAAATGAGGAAATGAGGCCAAAGGCGAGGAAGATAAGCCGCGTTCCCCACGCAGAGTTAGTCAGCAGATGCCCTGGACACAGGAGGGGTTCGCCTCTGAGGTGTGTCCACACCAGCAGGAGCCCTTCTAGGGCTATGCCCTGGTGTACCGGCCACCTGAGGCGTGACCACTGCAGTCCTATCCATCCCAGCAGGCTGGCCTCTCACACATCAGCAACATCCAAATGTACACACATGCAACCCATGCTCACATCCACGCACTAACACCATTTCTATACGGCAACGATGAAAGACAGTAAGTTCTAAACACCCATCTAGATGGGCACACTTGCTGCTGTTTACTTGAAGAAATGTTAAAATTGTTTCGTGTACTCTGCTTCAAACCGTACCAAATTCACATTTTAAAAAACTGCTTCAAGAATCGTACTTGCAAAGCAAGGCATTTCTTTTAACTAATGTTTGCTACTTCAAAGGAGGAAGCTAATCAAGCCATAAACTACTGAAGGGAAAATTAAAGACAAAACCTGAACCGAAGGCAGACACAAAATCTTGTCCCACGCATGCTCTGTGGCAAAAGAAGAGCCAGAAAGTCTTCTTTCAAAACGCAAAGGCTTTATTACTCCAATGTGCTGAATTTCCTCATTGATTTCCCAGTCAGTCTCCAACTCGGGGCTCAATCAGCTGCTTTCAAGTTTCAGGAATTCTACGTAACTGGCATTAGACACCTGGCAAGACTGGGGAGGTGGGGAAAGGCTGGTCACCTACGTCAGGAATCACCACAGGAGGTTTCAAACATCCCAGTGTGTGACTCCCAAACTCAACAACCCGTGGACAGATAACCTGTTTGCACACACACTCATTAGCTCGTTGTCAGAGAGGGATTAAGCACTCTGGTTGTCTTACCTCTGGGAAGGTTCAAACCACCAATCTTTCAGTCTGTAGTCGAGCGCTTAACCATTTGCGCCACCCACAGACTCCTTGTAAAAAAACCCCACTGCCATTGAATCGATTCTGACTCAAAGTGACTTCCACTGAGTTTCCAAGGCTGTACATCTTTACGGCAGTAGATTGCCTCATCTTCCTCCCATGGAGTGGATGGTAGGTTCAAACCACCTACCTTTTGCTTAGGAGCCCAATGCCTTAACCACAGCACCACCAGTGCTCCCTTGCTTAACTAAGAGTTCTTTAATAATCAGATATGCTATCAGTAGAGATGGTCTCAAAAGTACTGCCAGGAGCAAAAATAATGTTCCTCAGAGCCTGGAAGTTAAGGTATCTGACTGCTCCCCAAACAATTTTATCTGCAAGGCCGTGGCAGTATGCAATCCATACATACTGTAACTAGGAACAAGCCACTCAAGAATTACAACGTAATTCTGTCAACCTACAAGATTAAATACTACTTCTAAAACATACTAATATTTCATAAAAATGCCACGTCAAATGTCATTCCATTTTTCGTCTCTGTAACACGAAGCTTACACTTCCGTGCAAACTGAGTTCTTAGAAGAGAACAGTGTAATGAATTCGTAATCACAATTGCCAAAGAGCTAGAACACAACTTTGAAGATCACTTCTGCTTCAACTTGGAAAGGTCAAATCTCAAACTATGACCCACCAGCCATGCTGAAAAAACCTGGTCCAGGGCCATCCACCACCGTGCACGGTGTGGACAGCCAGAGGTGGCTGCACTGTGACCCAGCCGTGCAGTAATCACCAGAGTCGCTTCACAGCTCCCAGGCCAGAAGCCAGCCCTTCCTCACCAGCCAGCCACACCAAGCTGTCCTCGGTTTCCTCCTCGCAGTCACACTTTACTCGCACACTGTGCACCGAGCTGAACCTGACGAGTCTGTCTGGATTTCAAGTTCACGTGCTCAGGAAGGAATGGCAAGTGCAATGCCAGGACTCACCATTAGACACGGAAGACCTCGATGGAAAGTCAGTTAATTACTCAGGTGGAGATCACAGCACTGGTGTTGATAAAGGAACCCGGAGAGCCAACATCCTGAATTCACTGATGTTCTAGAGAACCATGAACCGTGGTCCCAAGGAAACAAGGAGCGGCCTGCCATCCTGGGGCTCTCCCAGACCATCATGTCAACTTTTCACCAAAGAGCAAAAAGCAGAAGCCCTCTAAAGAATACTACAACTTTAATTTGTAAATAAAATGCCAAATTCCAGGTAACATTTTAAACACTGGCTTATCAGTGGCAAAGATTGGAAACTACTGGTTCAAACTGCACCATCCCAGCCCAATGACGTCAATGACCCAAGGATAAAATTTTCCTAGGTTTGGCACTGCCTCCTCCTCCTCAGTTGTTTTGGGTATAAGAACCTAAGAGTCAGAGGGTCTTGACAGCATGCTCACATGAGGGAGAGATGACATAAAAGGGTTCACTTTACACTTTCACTGGTCTTCAGGGTTCTGAGTATAATCAAGCAGCTTAATAAACATTTTCCTAGTAAAGCATCAGATTAGTTGGTCAAGTTACTTTATACATAGCGTTGAACCTGTTACTCTAGCGCACACAGCATTAAATCCATTACCACCCAGTTGATTCCTACTCACTACCTTACAGGACAGAGTAGAGCTGCCCTAGAGGGTTTCCAAGGCTGTGATCTTTAAGGAAGTAGACTGCCACATCTTTCTCCCGTGGAGCAGCTGGTGGGTTGGAACCACTGAAATGTCCTTTAGTGGCCAAGCACACCACCAGTGCTTTTTATATACAGCATTATAGGCCCCTAACTGATCACAGCATCATTAGGTGGCTTAATCAGAATTTGTCCTAGTAATGCGTACAGGTCAGTCAGTCAGGTTTCTCTGAGTACAGGATTACAGATCTTTAAATGACCACATTCTTGAAGGACTCTGGAACTAGAGAAGGCATGCAAAGAACACGCCATGAAGAAAGTTTTTATTTAAGTGACTTCCACATACTGACAGTTCCACTGAAATATGACGTGGGTCTGTCACGACACATTGAAGAAAATCAATGTGCTCCTCCATGGAGGATCCAAAATAAAAATTCCAGGCTGAAAAAAATCCCTACGTGAAAGAGGTGTTCAGGCCCCGGGCACCCAGGGGATGGGCCAAGCTGTCACGTAGGAAGGGTCCTCTGAGCTGGGCTCCCAGGAGATGGACACGTGGGTAGGGGGCCCACGGAGCGGTGGGCGAGGCGGATGCAGAGGGCACACGCGGCTGCCCCCGCACCTCTGCAGCGCGGGGAGGGCGGGCGCCTCAACCTGCCTCTGGACCCCAAAGGCGAGGTGCGGGGGGTGGGGGCGGATATCCCAGGGAGTGCTGCAGGAAATGATATCCAGACTCGGAGGGTGGATCTAGGAAGCGGCTGGGGCGATGGCCCGGCGGGGGGGAAGGGGTGTGGGTGGGAACGGAGGATGTGGCTCCGAGGGGCAGGATGAGGGGGCGGGACACGGATGTGCGAGGGACTGGGACGCACGCATCGGCCGGGGAGCGGTTCGAGGTGGAGGCACCCGGGGCAGGGTGGAGGAGGACGCGGGTGGGAAGGGAGGAAGCCCCGCACGGGGCTGAAATCGGGGCCGGGCCAGGGCGCACTTACCCCAGTCGAGGAACTCGGCCACATACTTGTCGCGGCGCAGGGCCGACTGGCTGCACTCGGTGTACAGGCAGACGAGCACGTCGAGCAGCGTCTCCACGCTCAGGGCGCTCTCGTTGCGCCAGGGCCCGTCCAGGAGCAGCTGCTCCAGCTTCTTGAGCCGCACCTTGGCCGACATGGTGTCGCGCGGCCCGCTCCCGACACGCCGGCCTCTAGCCGCCCGCTCGGCCAGTCCGTCAGGGCGAGCCCTCGGGAACCCGGCGGCCGCGCGCCCTGGCAGCAGCGGCGCCTCGTCGCCTCCCCGTCCGCGTCGTCGCGCCCCGGCCTAGGCCGACATCTTGGGCTCGGTCCCGGCGGCGCAGCGTCTGGGGCGCCGGGCCCCGCGGGTCCATGGGCCGGTCCCTCCCCTCGGCGCCGCCGCCCTCCCGCTGGCCCGCCCTCACCCACGCCGCGTCCTCCTTGCCCGCTGGCGGCCGCTGCCGACCCGGAGCGACGCGGAGCCGAGCGCTGTACAAGCCCTGCCGGCGCCCAAGCCCCGACCCCAGCC